ACTTGACTGCTAACCAGAAGGCTGGCAGTTCAAACCCACCAGCCACTCCTCGGAAGGAAGGTTGGGCAATCCTACTTCCGTAGTGATACTGCCTCGAAAACCCAAGGGTCGCTACGAGTCGGGGCTGACTCGATGGCACATAACAACAACAACAACAACAAAGCTGATAAGTAGAGACAAATCCCAACTTCTAACTGGGAATAGGGGGTTAGGAATGAGAACTAGAGTAGTTCTAGATACAGGTAATCCCTAGCTTGGGATGGGGTTCCATTCCAACAACTCCGTTACAAGTTGGTTCTGACATAAGTCAAATACTACTTCTTTTATTTTCATTATTATTGTCTTTTATTATCTGTATCTTTGTAAGTCTGATCTTTGTCTGTCTTTGGGGCTTGGAATGAGAAAGATAATATCATCAAATTACACACTGCAATACTGTATGCAGTACATATTACTAACGGTATTAATCAAATAGACAGTCGTAAGTGTGCTTCATTGTCACTTGAACACATTGTAAATTGGGGACAATCTATACTAAATACTCAGAGAAGTGCAGTCATGAAGACAGCTATGGCCTTAGGGCTAGAATTCTTTGAATTCCCCTGGTTCTACTACTGACTGTAGTGTCAGAGGAAGTTCATAGACTTGAGTATTCCTCTCAAAAGCAGAATAGTAAACCCTGGTCCAGCTCTTAAAAATTCTGCTTGAATGACTCTTCTGTCTGTATTTGTTTTAAGTTTTTCAACTTTCAGAGGAAGGTGATATAGAAATTGTAAAACAGTATATCCACTCCTTACTTACTGACATGGTTAGGTTCCAAAGGTTGTTATGTGAAAATCCGTGAATATGTGAATATGCAAAAATGGAGGATGACCACAACAGATCACAAAATGGAGGATGACTGTATCATTAACAACTTCCAAATTACAACATAACTGTCAAATTGCATCATTATCTAATTGCCAAATTACATCATTACAGCACTGTAAATCACTGAGAATGATGGCCCAGCCAAGTTAACACATAATTTCAATGATCACAGCCAGCATTACTCTAACTTTGCACACTGGTGTTCATACTGCTCCACATGTTATTAATGTATAAAATAGTTTGTTCGATAGTAGATTTTTTACTATTTGTTGGAAATGTGAAATGTTGGATAACAAGGTAGTTGAGAAGTGTATATTTACATTTAGTATTTCTATTTTTCTCTCACAATAATTTTCCCTTTAGCTGCCTAAGTTGGATCTCTCAAGTCCCATCTTAGACCCTCCTCCTAGAAGTTTTTCCCCTGACCACAACCACTAGTCAAGGGCCAGGGGTTCATTTTTTATACCCCTCCAAAACATACTTATCTCCATCATAAAAATTATCCTCATATTGTGAGGCGCCTCATCTCAATTCCCATTTTTATTCTTCTGGATCACTGCTTATCAGCTTTAGAACCCAAGAGAGGGTCAGAATATATGGTGCATGCTGGCAGAAATGGATGATGTTATTATATTATGACACTGAGAAATCTGATTTATCTTCTGATTCTGAGTACATGATTTCTAGAAAACAAAAATAAGGGCAACAACTAGTAGAACAGAAGTTGAAAGAAAATCTTTCAACTGATACTGGGGATAGTGGGAGGAGGGAGGGACAAAATATATTCCTCTGAGTACTCGTTCTTCCCGTGCCATGGTTCTATATAAAAATGTAAATAGTATTGGGAATAGTAATAAACTATGATGCTAAAAATGGTACTTTTACTCCGGCTGCTTCAATTTGCAATTTTTTCGGGAATGGAGCCCATGATTCTGGAGCACTGAAATGGGCAGCAAAAAAGTGAAACTAATTTTAGCTGTTCTTTTCCAAAGGTATCCACCAACTCCTCCTCTATCATGGATACAGGCAACTATGTTGAAATGAATGATACAATAACCCACATATACTCTAAAGTGCAGATACAAGATATCACTAAGGAGCTCCACTGCCCACTGTGTAATGACTGGTTTCATGATCCACTGATGCTAAGCTGTGGCCACAACTTCTGCCAGGCCTGTATCCAAAACTTTTGGAAGCAGCAAGCAAAGGAAACCTTCTGTCCTGAGTGTAAGATGCTATGTCAATATAGCAACTGTACATTCAACACTGTAGTGGAGAAGCTGATAGACAAGATTAAGAAGCTACCCTTATTCAAGGGCCATCCACAGTGCCCAGAACATGGCGAGAACCTGAAACTGTTCAGTAAGCAGGAAGGGAAACTGATCTGCTTTCAATGTAAGGATGTTCGATTGTCTGTGGGGCAGTCTAAGGAATTCCTGCAGATCTCTGATGCTGTCCGTTTCTTCACGGTGCGTGAGCGCTGAACCTTGTGCAATCCTTGGGAAATTTGGGAAAAATCTTCTGTAGGGTTTCTTCTCTCTTCCATCCTCTATTCCTTTATTCAGATGATGATTAGAAAGCTTACAGTCTTCAGAAAATACAAAATATCTTGCAAAGTTCTCTAGAGTTGCTGCTTATAGGAAAGAGATAGTGGAGAAACTCTGGCCTACTCCCTAATCAATTAAATGTTTACCTAAATCCTGGCATAAACACACCCTGGTAGGCACTGTGGAGGCTATGGATGTATATGATATTGATCTTATTCTCAAAACTTAGTCAAGTTTAAAATGAATAACACAGTAGATCCAATATAAAATAGGATACTATTGAGAGTAAAATACTGTCACATTTGTAATTTATAAGTGTTTAGAATTTCAGAGAAGATTAGCAAAAGCTGAAATAGTCAGGGGATACATGATGAAAGAAATAGGCAGGATGTGAACTGGGAAGTTAGATTTGGATGGGCGGAGAGACGAGTGTTCCAAGTGAAAAGAACAATGGAAAAGTATAGAACAGTGTAACTAGAGTTGAAAATATGTGTAGTTCCCTCACCTTCTGCGAACCTCCGTAGCTAGTAATAAGCAGCCAAATTTTTCTGAATTTTTATGCTGCTTGTAATTTTAATTCTTGAAGGAGGCAGAATTAAGACACAGAAGAAATGGAAAGACTCTTCTACCAAGAGCTCTGCTTTTTTTTCTGGCACACTGGCCTTTGGGGGGAGATACTCTATATGCATCACTCTCAGGGCTCTTCATCTGCCAAGTGAGTTGTGAGTTAATTCTAAGTGGTATTCCCAGGAGGAGCTTGCCAGCCATCAGAGTCAACTGGAGGCAGCCCTGAAGGAGCTTCAGTCCCTGAGAAACATGCAGAAGGATGCTATTGCTGCTTACAAGGTGAGGGACAGGCTAGAGGGGTTATGAAGTAAAACTGGAACACATCTCCTTGAACCTCAATTAGATGAGTGGAATGGTGGAGATATAATATACTTCCTTAAGCACCTAAGCTATAGAATTAGAAAACTGACACTGTAGGGTGGGAGGAATATGGACGTGGAGTAGGTTCCCAATAGTAGATTTACACGAAGAGAACAGATTGACCTTTACCCTAATATGCTGATCCCTTTGATGGTTCAATTACTAGGTGATTGTTGTGGGGTTGTGATCTGTCTGGTCATTCCCTTTTACCTAAGCCATTATAAAGAACTTAGCCAAAAACATTTCTTTTCTTTGGGTTTATAACCAGGCTACTTATGGACCAAAGTTTCTGGTTGTTGGCTTTTTCCATTTGATTTGATCTTTTGTAGCTGTCCCCAAACTGAATAATGCTATTGGCAAGCTTTCAACTTTAGCAGGAGCTCTGGAAGATCATTAATGGTTAGGAATTTGGCAAATCAATCTCTAGGTTGGGAAGCCTAAATTGGGAGTTCTGTTTCTTCATTAATTGTTCTATGGAGGAGACTTTTCTGACACTTGGCACCTAGAGGAAGAAATATGTAGAATGAGGGAAAGAAGAAGGATAGATGAAGGTAATGATGCCTCCAAAGAATCTTGTCACTATTTTTAAGAGTTCCTCTGGTCGCCTAGTGGATAAGGTATTTGGCTGCTAACCAGAAGGTCAGTGGTTCAAACCTACCATCTGTTCAGTGGAAGGAAGATGGGGCAAGCTACTTCTGTAAAGATTTATAGCCTTGGAAACCCAATGAGGGTCACTATGAGTCTGAATTAACTCCATGGGAATGAGTTTGGTTTTTTGTTTTTGAGTTCAGCTACATTTATTCATTCAACAAATATTTAGAGTGGGTCAGGCATTATATTAGGTGCTGGGGTGGGAGACATGCTAAAGTGACTGATTTGATAAGTACCACAAAGGAAAATATAGGGAGCTATGAGAACATGTAAATAGAGAACCAAATCTAGACTTGGGGTAAAGATGTTCCTGGAAGAAGTTACCTTTTAGAAATTGAAAATTAAAGGATAAGTGATTTAGTCAAATGAACTGGGTGAAGGGAATAGGAAGGAGGTGACCTGGCAAAGCCCTAAGACAGGAAGTTAGTTGCTATATTCAAAATCACAGAGAAAGCTGGAACACAATGAGTGAGATGAAATTGGAGAGGCAAATATGGGCCCAATCACGTAGGTTCTTGTGAATGATGAAAAGCCATTAAAGCAGGACATAGTTCCATCTCATTTTGAAAATATCAATTTGCTAGCTGTGGAGAATGAACTGGAGAGGGGCAATGATAAAGACAATGGTTAGAAGGCCACTGCAATGGTCACAGAGAACGATGATGGTGTCATGGACTAAAGAAGCAGTGGATATGAAAAGAAATAGTTACTACATATGCTTTGGAGATGAATTCTCTGGACATAGTAATTGATTAGACGACAGGGCTGAGTGGAAATTTCAAATGGGCAGTTGTCTATAGGAATCTGGAGCTCAGAAGTTGGTCTAGAGTGAAGATTAAAAGTTAGCATATAGATGGCATTTAAAGCCATGGGAGTACAAGATACTGATGAGAAACAGTATAGAACAGAACATTAAGTAATATTTGGAGCTTGTAGAAGAGGTGGAACTAAATAAGACTAGAAATAGTGGTGACAAAGGTAAGAGGGAAACCAGAAAATTGTGAGCTACAAGAAAGAGGGATTTAAGACTATTTAAAGAGTGCAGTTATAATGAAGGGCCATGGAATCCAAGCTGGATAAGAGAGGACATGAAGACAGAAAAAGTAGGTAAACAGAAATGGAGGGGTCAATGAATAGAAAGTTTCACTAAGAGCCATTGGGGGTATCTGGGCAAGCAGGCTTGGAGCATAATATGTTATTTTGGAGATTGTGCAGTTGCTGCGAATGATAAAATCCCACGATGTGACTGTGGGAATGTGTGATTAAAAATGGAAATCATTAGAGATGAGAAAGATGAGGAGCTACCAGGATGTCAGATGACTCACCAGTGAGGATGCTGAGTCACCCAAGAAAACAGCACAGGTATAGCAGTTTATTTCAGTGCTTCCAACATTGCTCATCTCCTGCTACTTCCATATGGTACTGGCAGCAGGAGTGGCATCCCCTCAGTTCTGATTTCTAGATTAGGATATTTCTTCAAGCCTCCTTATGGACCCAGGCTAATTTGTTTGTACTTCTTTGTAGGAGGGTATTATTACTTACTCTAGAATGATTAACTCCACAGTTTCATTTAACATAGCATTCATTACCATCTCAGTATTGCAATAGGAACTTAAAAAACTCACTGCCATGGAGTTGGATTGGACTCATAGCGACCCCTCCTTGGGTTTTGGAGGTGGTATCACTATGGTAGATTGTCTTCCAAGGAGTGGCTGGTGGATTTGAATCGCCAGCCTTCTGCTTAGCAGTCAAATGCCTTATGCACTACGCCACCAAAGGTCCCCAATAGGAACTTAGTGAATACTTTTTTTAAAAAAAACATCTTATTGTGGTTTGGGTGAAAGTTTACAGAGAAAATTAGTTTTCCATAAATATATACACATTTATATACATTTTGTTTTGTGATAATCTCCTCAATGTAACAGCACTCTTCCCACTTCCTCCTTGGGTTTCCTGTTTCCATTTATCCATTTTTCCTGCCCCTTCCTACCTTCTGAACTTTGTTTTTGGGCAAATGCTGTCCTTTTGGTCTCATATGATTGATTGTTCCAAGAAGAATGTTCCTCACAGTGTTATTGTTCACTTTATATGCTTATATACTGTTTAGCTGAAAGGTGATCTGTGGGAATCAGTTCAGCTCCAGGTTTGAAGAATGTCTAAAGACCAAAGTTTCCGAGGTTCCACCAGTCTCTAGTAGGCCAGTAAGTCTGGTCTTTTTTTATGATTTTGAATTTTGTTCTATATTTTTCTCCCATTCTGTCCAGGATACCGATCACAGTGGTTGAGATTAGTAGCTGAACACCTTCCAGTTTTTCTGGTCTCAGGCTAGTGGAGGCTATGATTTGTGTGATTAGTCCTTTGGATGAATGGTTTCCTTGAGCTTTTTTTTTTTTTTTTTTAAATTTTTTTCACTCCAGATGGGAAGAGACCAATAGATGACTTAGATGACTGCTCACAAGCTTTTAAGACCCTAGTTATTACTCACCAAAGTAGGATGTAGAACATTGTCCTTATGGACCTATGTTATGCTAATTCACCTACATGTCCCCCAAAACTATGATCCTAAGCCCTTGAGCCCAGTGACTAAGAAGTTTGTATAACTTTGCACTCTGTGTGCTCTACCACATACTTGGATATATTTGCAGTATATACAAATATGTATATGTCCTCTGCCAAACCTATATATATGCTCATGGGTGTACTCCCATACACCATCATACCCCTATTCAGGTTATGTATGTATCTACCATGTATCCACTTGTAAATTATTGTTATTACTGTTATTGCAGGATTGTGCATGTAATAGTATTTACTGTTGATGCTTTTTATTATTGCATACCTCCCAGTGTTTGGCCACATTGTGTTGCCCTCCCCCTTATTGTGTGTTGCTTCACCCAAGTTAATACATGTCTACTATCTAGTTAGTGATTTTCTCTCCCTCCCCCTAACACCCCTGGTAACCATCAAAGAATGTTTCTTTCTGTGTGTGAACCTTTTCTAACAGTGGTCTCATACATATTTGTCATTTTGTGATTGATTTATTTCACTCAGCATCATGTCCTCCAGGTTCATCCATGTTATAAGATGTTTTGCAGATTCACTGTTATTTTTTAACATGGCATAGTATTCCATTGTGTATGTGTACTATAGTTTGTTTATCCATTCATCTGTTGATGGGCACTTAGGTTGTTTCCATTGTTTTGCTACTGTGAATAATGCTGTGATGGACATGGATGTGTATATATCTATTCATGTTCTGGGTCTTATTTCTCTAGGATATGGACCTGGTTAGTATGAGATTGCTGGCTCATATGATGTCTCTAGTTCTAACTTTTTAAGGAAGTGCCATACCATTTTCCACAGTGGTTGTACCATTTTACAATCCCACCAGCAGTGTTTGAGAATTTCAATCTCTCCATACCCTCCCCAGCATTTGTTGTTTTCTGTTTCTTTGACCATTGCTATTATTGTTGGAGTAAGATGATATCTCATTGTTGTTTTGATTTGCATCTCTCTAATGGCTCATGATTTTGAGCATCTCTTATTTGTTGGTCACCTGAATATCTTCTTTAGTGACCACTTTTGACTATTTCATGCTGAACTGTTAAACCAGCTAGGAAATAAGGAGGCAGTTCTTCAAAGGAATTCTTTTAGAATGGTTGACTGTTGCTATTCAACAGCCATTTGTATGGATTTTTGCCCTATGGTATTTCCCCAGTTGTATGAATTTTGGTGGTGTGGGCCCCCATCCCAAAGCACTAATCTCGGTAATTACCATGGTGATGATCACGGAGGTTTCCAGGAAAACAAGCTACATCTGCAGAAACACATCTCTTTGGAGTTTCTAAAGATGCATCAGTTCCTGCACAGCAAAGAAAATGAAGTTTTAAATGAACTCCAGGAAGAGGGGAAAGCCTTGAATGAGGAGATGGAACTGAATCTGAACCAACTTCAGGAGCAGTGTCTCCTAGCCAAGGAGATGTTGGTGAACATCCAGGCCCAAATGGAACAGCAGGACTCCTTCACCTTTCTCAAAGTGAGGTCCAACAGAAGCATGATTATGGGTATACGTAAGTGGGGAAGAGGGTTGGGAAGGATATAGAGCTGGCTTTTCAATGTAACACTAAAGCTGGGGGGGGGAGGAACAACTGTTGTGGTTTTACTGTTCTGTAGGAGGAAAGCAGGAGGCTCCTTTTACCTTTTGCTTGGTAGAAAGCTTTTACATTTACCATCCTAGAGAAGAAGAAGATAAAATCCATTAATAATAATACAGGTTGTCCTTCCTTGCTTACAATGTATTTGAGTTACAATGACTGTCCGTTGTGATTTTCTTGTGCATCTTATCATTAACAATATCTACTACATACTATATTGCAGCACATAATTTTCTGATGTTATCATTTCATGCCAACCTCCAAAGAAAAAATCAATATAGGAATTATAAAATGATAATAAAAGGCAGTAATAATGAATATGATAAAAAAAAAGAGGTATTTGACTTATGTCAGAACTGACTTATGACAGAATTGTCAGAATGGAACTCCATCATAAGTCAGTGACTCCCTGTATACATTATTTTAATATTTTTTCATAAAGAGTATTGAAGCTTTACTTTTAAAAATAGGAATATTGCAACCAGAATTGTATCTCTGATTGGCTTTCAGCAATCATAAATCAATCTGTTTGAGAGCTGTTTGCTAACCTTTGCTGCCTGAAGCTTCACCTTTGAAGTTTTTAATTAGCCAGAGTAAAGAAAATTACCCTCAGGACTGAAAAACTTAGTGTTTTTCTTCTAAGACTATTTGGGTGTATAGGTAATTTTTTTAAAAAATCTTAATAATTGTCCTGTTGACTTCTCACTCATTTCCTGTAAAAAGGAACTTTAGAATCAGAGCCAAATAAGGACAGTTTACCCTATGCTAGATTGAGGATTCAGGGTGTTCCCATTCAGTAAAGAAAGGCATACAGAGGATAAGAAGAGTTGGTGGATAAGAGAGGGGGCTCATCTACACAGGGGTCCAGTATTGATCAAATTCTGGTGGTGACCAATATTACCAAATAAATTACTGAAGTTGATGAATAGGCATTTGACTTCTTTGTTTCTTCTTTCTTCTTCTAGGACATCACAACTCTCTTGAATAGGTAAGTGTTTCCCATGTTATTCTTAATACCCTTCTTTCAGTTTGAAGATGTCTGAGATAAATGATTTATGTCCTCTGTAGTTTGGAACAAGGAATGAGCATGCTGGCACCCAGAGAGCTGATCTCCAAAAAGCTGAACCTGGGGCAGTTCAAAGGTCCTATCCAGTACATGATATGGAGGGAAATGCAATCCACCCTTTCTCCAGGTATCAGTGGTTAGTAGATATTGGCTCCTAAAATCCCTAATCTATTTTTCTTCTTAGGGACCTCTTCCGTTGCCTTAATTAGTACTTTAGAGTCTGGGACGGGGGTATGGTGGAGTTCAACCAAAAGTTGTCAGAATTACTTCTTAGCCTATTGTTTTGTTTGATAGTTCTATCAAATGTGGCAACAGCTAAAATGTTATCTTTTCAGTAGATTGGTTATATAAATCCCTGGGGCTTCTTTGTCCTAAAGAAAGAGGAAGTTTTTGGAGGAATTATTCATATGTACATAGGGTCTTTAAAGGTCTCCTTGTACTTGATATTCACAGCGTACAATAAAGCATCTTTACTGCTTCAGAAGAAAGCCAATAATATCAATAAGTATGCCTAATAAGAACATTGGGAGCTCTGGTAGCATAGTGGCTAAGACACTTGCCTGCTAACCAGACGGCTGGCGGTTCAAACCCACCAGCCACTCCTCGGAAGGAAGGTTGG